GGGGGGGGGGGGGGGGGGGGGGTGACCCCGTTTCGGATATTTCTGTAGCTGTGTGTGCGCTCATCTCCCTCTGAATAGCTGTCCCAGTAGGTTTCAAATTGAGAGGAGCCAGCAGAGTCTGGCAGACAAAGCGCAGGACTCCTGCAGGCCATCCTGGACCTGGGACTACCCAAGCCAGGCACAAACAGGGCCTAGTTCTGGATTACAGTTTATCCAAGAACCATCCAAGCCTTACAACCAACAACTGCATGAGAGACACGTTCATAAATCCTTGGAGAAAAGATTACTCCGCTGACATTAACCCCCTCTCAGGGAACACTCTGGTCAGTGGGCTGAAGACTGCCCAATTCTCACTCTTTCTCTCTGTCTCAGTCTACCTCAAGCTTGTTCTGCACAAAGCACGCCCTCCAAACAAGTACCAGCCAACTAAACAAAGCTCACTGCCAAGATATGAATCCCCAGCAAGGAGAACAGGATGGGAGCCTCTCCTTAGTCCTGGCTCCTCAGAGGATAGCAGGTAATATTATAAAAGACAGCCCCCACCACCTGCCCTGTGTTGAAAGCTGCAACAGCTGCCTTTTTATTTTCAAGCAGCTTGTGGCCCTCAGGAGGGGTTGAGGGTGTCTGTGGGACAGTGCTGGCGAACCTGGGCACTGACCAAACTTCAGGGCAAGCTCTGGACCTCCTGGGCACCACCAGATGTAGGAGCTGAAAGCTGATGTGTCCCTACTCTTAACTGCTGAGCGGCAGCTGTCACAGTTTTGGATTTAAATTCCACAGAATTTCCTCTTCAGAGGCCACAGGTCCTTTCTCACAGATCTGTCCTGTCTCTGCCTCCCTCCCCCCAACATCCCAGATGCTTAGCTCCTCCTGGAGCTCCCTGGCTGAGAACTAGCAGAAGACACGAGGCTCAGACAAATCAAAGCCCTCTCTGTCCTGAGCAGAACAAGAACCACACAGAAGCGTTGCTATTTAAAAGCTGCCATCAGTTGTTGGCTTCCAGCTTTGAAACAGTTTGGCTTTTAACTTCGAAGGACACACCAACAATGGATTAACTCATTTACTCTTTATAGAGTCTGCTGGAATCCTCCAAGTGCTTGGATTCCTTCTATCTCCCTATTTTCTCCCCGTGTACGTCACCTTTGTTCGAATAGGTGTTGTGTTACTGCAATTCCCGTCACACTGCAGTTGTTCCCGTGCAGCCACCAGGACAGCCCCTCCCCTTGGGAGAAAACATATACATCACTCCTTCCCCAGCCCTTCTGCTTTCTATAAATAAACATGAAAAACTAGTCAACTGGAAGCTGCTCTAGCTTGTAAACAACCTTAACACAGTCACATCATGTTTACTTGGACCAGAGAAAGGGAGAGGGAAAGACGTGGCAGCAGACTGTAAAACATTGCAGGGTTGGGTTTTTTTAAGCTTACTGTGCATGGAGGGCCGAGAAGCTCAAAGGTTACTGGGAGCAACTTCCACTTAAGAGCCACAGCCCTGTTTTAACTGCAGCAGCAGGTTCACTCTTACATTTTCAGGGCCCTTTGCTGTTGCTCGTACAGGAAAGGGAGCTTTGCCACCAGGGCCTTGTTTTCACCAGGAGAATGCACATGTGCCCGTGACTGCCTCCTTCTTCCGATTTCTCTGGGAAGCTGGGACATGCTGACATGGTATCCCTAGCTTCATGCTCTGGGCCACCTTCTTTGTGGCCTAGAGCACCTGATCTTACAGCATTAGGAGGCTCCAAAGCCATCCAAAAGGGCACCAGCAACCAGGTCCAGGAAAATCCCAGCGAATTTCTCACCACTTTTGCACTTCTAAAGAAACCTGTATGGAGGCTTTATTGTCAAGAGGGTCAATGAGCATTATTAGGGAGAGAAAAGCACATTTTAGGGTTTAAGAAAGGAATAAAAAGCAGACATTTTGTTCACAGCAGTGTACAGAAGGGGTCCTGTGGAACAGTTGCTCTACAGGAGGGTCTGTAGCCACTCCAGTAAAAAAAAAAAAAACCTCCACTCTCTAAGATAATTACTCAGATAAAATCGTCACTGAATGTTTCACTGCTCCCCACAACTCCTTGTTCTGCCCCACATCCTGCAGCTGGCCTGGTCCACACCTACAATAAATAAGGAGTGTTCATTGTAATTGCCCCTAAATTCACGCAGTGATTTCTCCCAACTAGCAATTACGATCAACATTTAATTGCTGTGTCCTTACTACATAATTATAGATTACTTATGTGTTAAAAAAGATAAAAAGTAAAGCCCTTTCCTATCACACAAAGTATTCTCCTCCTCAGGGGTTTTACATGACTGAATCTCCCAGCTATCTGATCTGTCCCACAAAACTGCAGACACTGCCTAAATGTCCCATCTAGCATGAAGGCAACATTGCTCAATCCATCAAGAAATTGTGAGGATGGAGCAATCAAATATTTTATCCATCTGCTCCCATCCTCCCTGGGGAAGGCTGAGCATTTCTGGAAATCCAAATTCTTGTGTGGAGGCCAACTCCAGTACCTTTAATTCCTCTGTCTGCTTTTGACCTCCCAAAGATCTGGGGTTGAAAAACATAAATTGATGATAGCCACACTGTGTCCCTCTTTCTGCTTGGTCCCCACAGTCCCAGCTGTACCTAAGGCAGGTAATATCTGAGTCAAAAGAGTAGCACCTTTCACACTGTTTCATTTACACCAAAAGATAAGGCAACATATATAGCGGTGTCGCTTCAGTGTCCATGTTACCCTTTTTCAGGGGAAACTGTTTGCAATCACAGTACAGATTAGTTTTTCCCAGGAGCAAATTCAGATGAAATGCCACATCTGCTGATTGCAAACGCCCAGTATTTCCATACCCACAAGTGTACCATCCCTAGGGAACAAGCTGAGAATAGAGGCTTACCAGCAAGAAGTCCAAGGCACTTGCATTCTAGCAGCCATTTTTTGTTTTATTATTTAAAGTTAAGAGCGCTCATCAGCTCACAAATTAACAAATTCCATTCCTGCAGTTTAGTTCAGGTTTCAGCCAAAAGGAAAAAAAAAAAAATAGAATGTAGCTAAACTAACTCTGCACTTTACATCTCAATAAAAGTTAAACCTTCTTGCTTTATAAATAAATGTTATAGTTAACACTGCAAAAATGTAATGGCAGATCTACGATATCTTTAAAGGGCAGAGAGCGTAAGATTATTGAGGCATATGGATATGCTGGCTTATAAATACAAGTAGAGAAGCTTCAGTAGCATATAGTGCATGGCTATTTGTCAGGGTTCTGCTCTCCCAGTCTTGACCTTTCCCAAAGCTCAGAGGCAGCTGCTTCACCCCCAACTGTGCTTTCCACTCTGCCCAAGGCCAAGAAATGAGCCACATGCTGCCAAAGCCCAGTCACTCCCCCTGCAAGAAGATAAAACTGCTGGAACAGCATCATGTTTACCAACACTGACTGTTTACCACCACGGAGGGTTCTGCTAATGGAGGCAAATACCTACCCTGAGACTACAGATTTAAAAACCAGTTGTGTGCAGATCCTAATTAAAGAAAGGAGCTTGCCCAAATAGTAGCCAAATGAGATTTCAAATTCAATCTTTGAAGTAGCACCATCCTCAGTAAAGCTGCAAAAAGAATCAAAAGCCAAAACCAGATGCTAACAACCCACTCCGTGTAGGTTTTCAGAATGGGATTGTTACAGAGCTCAATTGGTTGATACTAATAAACCTTAGAAGGCGGCACCTTTAACTTTCTTCTTTTTTTCTTGCTTCTTCCTTCAGACCACCCTCATGCAAACATGCCACCAACACTCACTTGCTTTAATAACCGCCCAAGCACCACCCACGCTACAAGTACCTCCCATCCTAGAGGGCTGATGGGCAAAGAGCACATCCTCAAAGATGGTTCGAAGTGCACTGGTCTGGCTCTGAAACCTGGCCACGTCCACCCTGTACAGCTCAATCCCTGCTGACCTCAGGGGCTCAAGGACCTCCACACAGGGAAGGGAGTGAACCTGTGCAGAATGGGCAAGCTAAGGGCTGGAATGCCACATGAATATTTTGTATATAAGGTAGCAGGTTTTCCTCCCCATCCATAAAAACCAACATCTATTGATGAAACTATATAACCAGAACTGACCTTACTATATCTTACAGGATTGAAGAAGTCTTGCAGCATAGATAGGGCCTGGCTCTAAAAGAGAAAAAATAAGCCAGCTTTATGCACAATCATTGAAACCTCAGGCCTTTAACACCATTTGCTACTTGGCCAACCAAAGGAGAAAAAAAACCCATCCTCAGCATACCCAACCCTACTGCCATGCAAGGCAACTACCTCAGCAGAGCACAAGCCGCTCGGCTGTTGGACTCATACTGTACCAAATCTGAGAAGGGGGTGGGGAAAGAATTAGTTGGAAGATATTTTATTCCTCACTTGCATTCCTATCTGTTCAGTATTTGGGATGGGAAGGGCTAGAGCACATGTGTGATGTGTAGCTGCTCCAAAGCTTCACGCTGAGTTAATCCAGCACTAATGGGAGAAGCAGCAGGTCCCAGGGAATCTCCATTTTTCTTCCTTCTCAGGACAAGCCGGTTGGCATAGGAAAGGGCAGGGGCTGCGGCCATCTCTGGATACAGTGCACTGGAGATATCTGGTACCTGAAGACAACAACAATGAGGGACAGCCATGAGCTCTTGAGCCTCCTCCTCCCCTACCCCGGCACATGCCAGCTGGATGGTGACAGATGAGAATAAAGCTCGCAGCCCGTCTCAGCACAGCGACGGCCTTCGGCACCTATGCAAGGATGGCCTGAGATCTCAGGCTGCACTACCTCTGTGGGGTGAAACAGGTGACGGGAAAGGCTGGGGACTTAAGCTCTCCCACCCTAGTGCAGTTCAATGAAGGCTTCCAGCTCCTCGGGGATGAAACCTTTGTAGGGAATCTTGTGCTTGTCCAGGGCGCGAGCAGCAAGGCACTGGAGGGTGATGTAGTTGAAGGGCTGCATCATGCTCTTGGTGAGCAGCTTCTCATCCAGCAGCTCATAAGCAGTCTGCTTGAAGGCATTGGTGGCGTCCATATGGGCTCCAGCCTCCATCAGGGCACTCATGATCAGCGGGCAGTTGTTGCGGGCAGCAACATGCAGCGGGGTGTTGTTGTCATAGTCACGGCTATCTGGGTCAGCCCCGCACTCCAGAAGCAAGTTCACAACGTGGAGCGACGGGAACTTGCCCACGGGATAACGTCCCACTGTTGTGGTATCTTTGTCCACGGCCATATGCAAAGGAGTGAAGCCATTCTTGGCGCGGGGGCTGCACTTCAGCAGGCGGTAGATAGTCTGGCGCTTCTGGTGTTCCTGCTCTGGGGTGCACTCCACCTTCTCCAGCAAGAAGACCAGGTGGAGGATAATGGCCAGCGTCTTGGTGAACTGCGCCGAGTCAACTACAGGGTCCTTGCCATGCACAAGAGCTCTCTCCACCTCCCGGACCCCTTTGCTCAGTACTCCCATGAGGTCAGAGAAGCCCAAGTGAGTAGCTAAAGTGCCTTTGGAGCGGTCCTGAAGCACGTAAGAGAAAAGCTCAGCAAAGGAAAGGAAACTGCTGGCAGTCATCGGGCTGAGAGGCTCCAGGTTGCCTTGCTGCATGTCCAGAGCATACTTCCACAGGTTAATGCAGCGCTCGAAGTTGCCGGAGTCAGCATAGACCGCTCCTCGGTAACGGATGTAATAGGACGTGTCTGGGTGGGAAGGACCTAAGATGCGCTCTCTAATCAGCAGCGCTTGCATGCGCATCTCGTCCGGATCAGTAATCAAGGCTTCCAGTTCCTCCAGAGAACTCACTTCCCGGGAATAGTCGTAAGCCAACACCAGCTGCCGGGGCTCAGGTTTAGGCAGGTATTGACCGCCCTCACAGCGAAGCTCCATCGCCCTCCGCCAGTACTTGTGGGCTCCCAAAAGGTCACGTTTCTTATCCACAAACGTAGCACCGAGCAATTCCAGCGCTTCCACAGCAGCCTCTCGAGTGCAGAACACGTTAGGGGCCTGCTGCTCATCCTGACTGGAAGCTGAGGCGCAGCATCTCCCACACCCCTCTTCATCGCAGCCCCGAGGAGCTTCCTTGCCAGCGCTGCAGCCCCTCTGATGGCTCCCACCTGAGGCGCAGGTCCCGTTCTGGTTCCCTGCAACCTCCTCCTCCTCCTGCTGCAGCCCTCCTTGGATGAGGTACTCCACGATGTTGGTGTGCCCGGTGACACTGGCAGCTAGCAGAGGAGTCATGCCATAGCCGTCTTTCTCCATGCGGGCTTTGGAGCGGAGCAGCAGCTGCAGGATCTCCAGGCTACCGGACTCGGCGCAGTCATGCAGGGCCGTATTCCCCTTGACGCTCCGACGGTTGACATCGGCCCCTTTCTCTAGCAAGTAACGTGCAATTTCCCGGTGCCCTTTGTAACAAGATATCATCAAACAAGTGTGTCCGTGCCGGTTGGCTACTTCCAGGTCAGCCCCACGCTCCCCGACTAAGTAGCGCACGATCTCCAGGTGCCCATCGAAGCAAGCAGCCCGCAGCGGCGTGGAGTTGGTCAGCGTGGTCTGGTTCACCGAGGCGCCGTGATCCAGGAGGCTCCTCACCACCCCCAGGTGCCCGGCCGCAGACGCTGCCCACAGCGGTGGGGCCCCCTCGATGGTTTCCCCATCGAAGTTGACCGAGCCCCCCTCCTCCACGCGGGCGCCGCAGTGATCCAGCAGATACTCCACCACCTCCAGGTGCCCGTGCCGAGCGGCGATCAGCAGCGGGGTGCTCCCTC